CATGTTCTAATTATCAGGCAGTTTTTCAGCATCCTTGATAGCTTTGGGCTGCGAAGAGTGACTTCCTTCAGGTACAAAGACATTTTATCCTGTTGCGTTGCTCTTTCTGAATTGAAGTCGGCTTTTCCAAGGAACGTTTCCCTATTCTATCTCTACTTTTGTTATTGTGTTCCCAAATGAACTAACAGGAGCTTATTCACTATTTAACTTTACTTTTATCACTTTGTCTTATGCCTACGGATGGGAGATAGAATGGGATTAGATTGTGAAATGAGAAAGGGAGCTACCCCCATTTATTCACTTATTTGTGCATGCATTCATTTGTTCATTCATTTATTAAGCACCTGCTATGAGTCCAATACTCTTTCCAACAAGGTAAATCTTTTCCTTCAAGGAGCTTGTGGTACAATAGGAGATCGATTCAAGTAAACCAGCAAAATGCAGTGTGATAAGAGCCAAAGTAAAACTTTAGCACCGGGTGGCCTAGGAACATTGTATGGAGTTTTCGACTCAACCTTGAGAGTCAGAGAAGTCCTCCCCCGGAGCAGGTGGCAGCCAAGACAAATCTTGGAGGACACATAGGAGTTAGCCCAGCGACAGGGGTAGAAGGTAGGGGAGGGTGTCCGAGCAGAGAGCATTGTAAGTGTAAAGGTCCAGAGAAGAGGGCTGGGGACAGAAGTGTCTTTCAGGAACTGCAATTATTTCAGTATTACAGGAGCATAGAGTGCAGGGGTGGATCTTATGGATAGTATACAGTGTTGCTTATAAAAACAAAAGACAAATGAAAAAACCCAACAAGTTAGAATATCCTAGGGTAGACATATAATCTTGAATCCACCACACACCCCAGCCCTTTTCATCGCTCTACCTTATCCTAATTTACTTTACTACCTGCCTGGCCCATGCAGGCATTTGAGTTTGGGATCCCCTACCTCTGAATTTATACAAAAGATCAAGTTCAAACAATCTGAGTCTCCATGTCTGGTGTGAAAGGAAAGGAGAGTAGCTTTGCGGTGGAACTGTGAAGGCCCACCCAGTGTAAGATCCTACCCCCCAGGTAAGAACCGGAGAATTACTCACATACATTAAAAGAAGGGTCTTTTTCCTCATTGAATAAAATGGAGTATAGAGTACAAAGGCAAATATTTACTGAGATCATATCATGCACCAAGTATTATGCTAAGTTCTTTTATAGCAGGCCTTGAGAAGAAAGTAATTTAAGTGGTCATAGGTACATGTATGTAATTAAATTTATAATTTATAAAGTGATTTTGTGCATCTTAAAATATTTTATTTATTAGAATGTCACCTTAACGTTTAATGCAATTAAATAAATATCTGATAATATTTATTGACGTTCATTTATGTGTTAGGTTCTGAGGCTTCGCTGGAGGTACAGCATAGACGTGTTCCCTGCCTTGGATTGTTCACGCTCGTGGGCTGAATCACATCGTGGATGATTATCTCTCTGTCTGGTCTTCTGAGTTGTCAGATTTGAGTCATCCCAGGATTAAAGGAAATCTTTGAGTCAGCCCTTTGTAACCCTGGCAAACTTTAACAAATTTGCATATTTAAGATTGATTTGGATCAAGCTAACCTTTTTCCTCCTTGGGAAGAAATCTTGGTTGCTAAGTAAATCAGTAACAAACACTTCTGCTGAGAAACCAGGGCAAACATTATCATTATCTTTCCAGGACTTCTCATATTGATGGTTGAAGGTTTTGAACACCTTATTAAACTGACTTTGAAACTTAAGTTCTTAGTTCTCACAACAGAAATTGAGCCAAAGCCAGCTTATGTTTTCAGGCTTGCGTTTGATGTAAGTCATGAGAAATGAGGAGATTTATTTCCGGAGGAAGGAGGAGAATCTGAATTAACTTTGAATTTACCTGGTGGCCCAGCATAGTGCCTTAGGCATACTGTTACTCAGTGCATTTTTAGTAATCCAATATCTAATTAGTCAGAGATCTATATCTACAAAGAAAGCTTATCTTCATCCGTCAGGTAGGAACTGCCGGAAAGCCTGTATTTGTGGGACTGCTCTATATTCCAGAACCTTTGCTCAGAAGGAACTATTAATATATCACAGAGTAAGGAACTAGCTTGTGTTCATACAACACCCCTCGTTTCCTGGATAGTGCATCCTGCTAAAATCAGACCGTAGTAGCTGCCCTGGGCACATGCTTCTCTTTCTTCTTCTCCCAGTACTCTCAGTTGGCCCTGTGGGTTGTTTCTCTACCTGGCAGACATCCCTGGATCTTAGGGCAGGAGAAGATTCTAGTTTAAACATTTTGATCAGCTGTAGTAGTGGAGCAACCAAGACAGGGCAGCAACAGATGCAAAAATGATGAAAGTTTATTGCCTCTGATGACGGGAGTCTGGGGTAACCCTGGAACATTAGGAAAGGCCTTACCAGAAGAAGGGGACTCCTGAGTTAATGATTATAGTGAAAGCAGAAGTAAGGACAAAAACAAGAGCCTGTGGAAGGAACAGGAGGACTGCGGTGAAGTTGAAAGGAGGTGGAGAGAGAATTCTGAATCGAATTCTGAATCGAATTCTGAATCGAATTCTGAATCGAATTCTGAATCGCAAGTTCAGATGAAGACGCTCTTTCTCTGTCTGTGCAAAACTAATAGTTTGGCACCACTGACCGTGGTAAGAGAAGCCAAGGGAATAAGATTCTGAAATATTTGGGAGCATTTGATATAAAAAGAAGAAGATTTCGAATTACATATAGAAGCAAACTGAAAATCAAGGCAGTTTTGAGGGGGGATATCAGAGGGCCCTTGGAGAGGGTGTAGCTTTACAATGTTTATGTCCGGCTGTGGAGTTGGAGGTGTCTGTAGAAGCTAGAGTGAAAGCCCAGACTAATGAGGAAGGCGGAGCTCGGATGTGGCTTTCACATCAAAAGATATGCAAATGCTGGGCCTACAGAAAGCACTGGCCAGTGGGTTTGGATAGACACATGCCTTTGGAACATTGCTCAAAAGTGAACTCTGTTCGCAAAAGGGCTGTAATTTCTTTAGATTATCTGATAGCAGACTCGGTGATGTTTACCAGCTTCAGGGAGATCAGGCCATTGTGAAATTTTTTTCTATAGTAAAACTAGCCCAAGCCAGCCAGACTGGGAATTTACTGCCTGAGCTGTTTTCCAACATGAGTTTTGCTGGCAAAACCAGATGTGAGTGTTCCCTCGACTCTCAAGAGGCCTGTTTACACTGACTTTATTTTTACTGCCAGCTTTCAAGTGGGAAGAGGGAAATTACATTTAAAGGTCAGCAGGTGAGCAGAAGGATCCCTGCCCTGCCATTCCTGCGTGTATGTGCCTGCGTGCATGTGTGCCTGTCCCTGCGTGTGTACACATGTGTGCCTGTGCCTGTGTGTGTGTGTATATGTATTCGTGCTTTTCCAAAGGCCAACCGTGTGCCCTGCTCTGGTTAACGAGACCTGATCACTTGTTTGTATGCATAATGATGGGTGCCAGGCTGGTTGTTTAGCAGTTTCCTATTTGTTTATTGTAAAGAAGGTAAATCAATCTGCAGGATTTTCTGGACTAGAGAGCAAGGGATATTTACTGTCAACAGGATGAGGACAAGGAGATGTAAGATACTGAGCTCCAGGGTGCATCTACTGTCAGGACAAGAGCATAAAAAGGTGGGGAGAAGCCAACTACAGGGTATTTCTGTCTTGTGTGGAGCTTTAATTCTCTGGGTGGGAAATACAACTTGGAAAATTGCCCTCTGGTCAAAGCACCAGTCAGTAGAACTAAATAGGATAAAATTGGGTTGGACTCAAATTCAATTTCATCGACTCTCCTCTTTAAATTCTTTTTTTTTTTTTTAGTTTCCAAAAAGATAACAGAAAGGTTCTCACAGTTCTCTTCACTTGAGTGAAGAATTGAGAAGGCAAGTCTATGGTCCACGTACACATTTCCAGAGAAAGTTAGCACCCAGAGACTGACAGCACTGGGAAACCTACCCACAAGTGTTGTGCTCCACTGAGAAAAAAACAAGAAGTTGCTGTTCTACTCGGGATTAAGCAAGAAGCCATGAAATCCCTTCCTGAGGGGAATTTAGAAGATGGCCTGCTGAGTAAGGTAAGTTACAACAAATCCTGGTCTCCCATGCACCCCTCCTCACCCTCCACCCTTCCCAACCAACCTTGATCCAGAAAAGATTCCAAAAACCAAAGACCACCACCGCTGAGAGGATTTAGGGACTTGTATTTCAGTCTTCTCTTTGAGGTTCTAGTGCCCAGAGGCGTGTTGGGTATAGACTCGAGTATAGAAAGGAGAATTGGAATCTGGGTTGCAACTCCAGCTCTGCCACTAATCCTTGTGTGGTCATGAGTCACTTAACCTGCCTGGGCCTCAGCTTTCTTTGTAAAATGGGAGTGATAATAGGATCTTAATGGGGTCATTGAAAAAGAACAAATGAAATTAAGATAAAGCTTTTTAAAAATTGAAACTGCTAGGTTTTTTAAATCATATTTTTAGTACCCTTCAAGTAAGAATTAATTTAATTTCTTCTAGATAGAGTCATAGGCTCTCAGAATGTCAGAACATAAACTGACCTTAAATATTATCTAAATTAAGTCTTTCCATTTACAGATGAAGCTACTAAGACGTGATGTTAATGTTAAAACTAAAACATTGAAACTAAGAGGTAGGAACTAGTCTGTGGTTTTCATGCCTTGACAAGTAAACAAAGCAAAGATCATGATGATAATTTTAAGTAAAGTGTATTTCTTAGGCAAACCATTAAGAGAGATAAATAAGGAAAACCTATGATGATAGAAATTATAGTAAACAAAGTGATTTCCTATTATTCCTCCTTTTGGGGGCTCTAAATGGAGGGGGCGTTGGCTAGCATTTTCCTATGAGTCCTGTATTTTTGGTAAGAAAAACTACCAAACTTTTTAGCCTGGCATTCGAGTAACTTTAACTGCTCTATTTTTCTACCTTCTGCTTTCCCTGCATTTCCAATAGCAGAAATTCTAAACAGTCCTTCACATGTTGACTCCAGCCTGTCACATGCCTTGTTTGGCCTGAAGAGTATTTTTTGAGTTTTTCCAATTTCTTTATAAACATTTCAAAATAGTGAGATTTTACATAGAAATCCAGTTTTCTATCTTCCCTAGAAAAAAAAAAATTCAGGCTGTCTGGCAACCACAGGTCCTGATTTTTGCCTGGAAATCACAGGCTGAAGCTGAGTGTCTGGCAGGCGGAGCATGTGCTGCCCAGACCTCAGGAGGCTGCAGCCCTCTGGGTCTGACACCTGCCCCCCTGTCCCCCCATATCCTTCCCTCTCTTGTGTGTCTCCTACTCCCTCCCTGTAAGGGGTCAAGTCGCCCACTCATGCCCCACAAGAACTGTTCCCTGAGCAGGTCTCAGGCCTGAGCTCTCCTCTCGACCTTTTTGGCTCGTATTCTTCCTTCAGACTCAATTCAGAGTCCACTTTCTCAAGGAAGGTTCCCCTGACACCCTAGCACAAAACATTTTTGCCCTCCCATAGACTCTCATCAGAATTATTACAAATACTGTTTATTTGGCAATCGATTGTATGTTGATTCCTGAAACCTTTCCTATTATTGTCTTGGTTGGTGACTTCAATAATGCATCATTTCATTCTTTATAAATTTCTGGAGGGAAGAATGGTGTCTTGGGTATATTTCTTTCCTTTGACATTTACAGAGTATCTTGCACATATATGGTCAGAAATATCTTCAGAGTTTATTGAAGATGAGGCAAGAGTAGTATGGAAGTTGTTGGTAAGTTGAGGAGCGTGTAGGATCTCATTTAATCTAATCAACAGCCGTGTGATGTTCCTATTACCTCCATGTTTTCCAGAGGAGGAAATAGAGGCTTACAAAGATTAAATAACTTGTCCAAAGTCACACTGCTGAATTGTGAAGGTCCTGAGGTTTCAGCCTAGCTTTTTTTAGTCCAATGGCCATATTTCCTCTGCTAAACATCTCTATGTCTCTGCAAATACATATTGAGCACTTGCTTTGTGTAAAACACTGTGCATAGTTTGAGGGTAGACCAAGGCATAAGATATGGTCTACTAACTGAGAAAGAAATTCTGTGCTTTATGCCTTAAGGACAGCCCTGTCCCACTTGCAGATTTTGCACGTAACTCCAAAGGAAAGAAGAGGAAATTCCATGAACAGACAGGGAAATGCATCATGTAATATATGGCAGACACAAAGGCTACAACAGAGATTTGAACAGAGGAAGACAGAGGAGCATTAGGTCTGATGGGAGAGGTGTCTCATGGAAAGAGGAGTAGAGAAAAAGCTTCGAGGATGTGTAGCGTTTTCTTAGGTGGAGAAGTACAGGAAAGATCTTCCAGGCTAATAGAACCCCATTCAAACCCCCATGTGAGGTGGGTTTCATTCCCAGGACCTTTTTTTTTGCGAGGGAGGCAGAACAGTGCAATGGTTACAAATACGGGCTTTAGAATGACGTTGCTTGGGTATGTGACTTACTAACTCTGGCACCCTGGACAAATTACTTAAACTTGCTGAACTTCAGTTTTCTCATCTGTAAAATGGGGATAATTATAACATCCATCTTAAAGGATTGTTGGGAGATTCAAATGAGCCCACCCTCATAAAGTGCCCTGGACACAGGGAGGACTCTATAGTCTTAACTCCACTGGGATGCTGCTACTTCTGCTACATCTGGGTGCTGCAAATGTCCTGTGTGGCTCAAGCATTTGATGCATTTGAGTCATAGAAGAATTAGTCTGAAAAGAAGGGATACGATGGTGGAAAACTTAGGTCTCATCTACACCTATCACTGAGCCTAAGTCTCTATCCCTTGAAGTTACTAGCTCCTGGAAGACAGAGATGTTGCTGGTTTTTGTTTTGTTGTGTGGTTTTTTAAAAATACTGATTATTGGATCCAATGCAATTCTGGAATTAAAGGTCTGACTTCTTGTTTTCTGGAAGGAAATCCTCAGCCTTTTTCCCCTAGTGGCACCCATCACAGGTGACAGACACCCAGGCCACATGCCCACGGGTGTAAACAGGCCTGTGTGACGTTCCTGGCCTGCTACTTAACACTGCTGTGATCTCTCTTTGTCTCAAGGAAGCGTGTCAGAATGCAAGTGAGTCAGAGCAGTGTTATTATAGGGAATAACCTTGAATTCCTAATAATTTATATTTGAAACAGTAAATTATTCATGAACGAGATCTATTAATAGTAGCAAATGACTTGTGGGACAACAATGAGCCAGACGCTGTGGTTGGGGAGGAGGAGGGAAAAGTAGCCCGGGCTGGGATGTGTGTACGTGTACAGGCATGTAGACACACCTGGAGAGAGGGAGGCCCATGCAAAAAGTGTGGCCCCCTTAAAAAGTGCCCCACATGACTACTTTTGCATAAACTCTGCTTCATTAGGATAACTGAATCTGCATGCTAATAAGCATGGCATAGCTTTCCTGGGGTCAGAACAACAGAAGGGTTGGACTAGGTCACCTAACCATGCCTAGCATTGTGTGGCTGACTGTCACATCTATAAATGCAGCCTTTTAAAAAGAAAAACTGCCCCTTTGTTCATTGATTTGATCAGCAGTGGAGGTGAGTGAAACTTGAACAAACCACTTTACGCATGTCCCTAAACAGTCCCTCATTCCTTAGAGAAGCTATTTCAACAGTCTATCACCTGAAGTCTCCGACTTTCCAGCCCACTCCCAGCACCCTGCCTATTCTCCTACTCCATAAATAAAATAGACTTCAGACAGGAAATTGCTCTGATTCCTACCGTCCCCTGCCCTTTCACCTGTGTCTGCACCATTTTTCCTTTCTTTCCTTCCGACACACAAGGCGAATTCCTCACTTAGGTCTCTGCATTTGCATGACTCCTCTAGCCGGGAAATCTTTGCACAATGGTTTTGGTCTCTGCTGCCTCTTTCTTCTCCACGGACTCTTTCCCTCAGCGGTGAAACATGTTCGAGCCTGTGTGTCATTTTGGAAAAACCTGTTGGCGTCCCTGTTGCATTGTTTCGTTTTTTTCCATAATCGAACTTCTCGGAGGAGTTGCTTACCTCTGTCCTCACTTGCCTGTCTCCCATTCACTTTGAATCCACCACTTAATGCCTTCCGCTCCCCCACTGCTAATGCTAGTGCCTGCTGCCCCTAAAGCTCACCAATCCTATTCTAGCTGCCAGATTCTATTGACATTTTTTGGCCTTATCTCACTTAGCCACTTACCATTAACTTTGGTCTTGAAATTCTTCTTCCTTTATTTTTAAGACTTCTCACTGTTTATTTTCCCAACTCACTACCCTTCTCTAAGGCAATTGCTGCTCCAACAGTATCATAGGAACAGTTGTGATTCTCTCTGTGTTCCTCATGCCTAACTAGATACCTGCCATTTTCTCTTTCTAGAATGACCTCCATGCCATTTTCATCCTAGCTAACTCCTGCTAATCTTTTAATATACAACTCTAACACAGTACACCCCCAGGAAGGCCCCCCAACCTCCAGGCTACATGAAGTGTCCTTTTTCTGTGTATCCATAGCATCCTGTGCAAACCTCCCCCTCACACGAGATTGCAGTGATTTTAATTCCCAGTTCATTTGTCTTGCCTTGTCAATTTATCTATAAACCTCCTGACAACGTGTATGCACAGAGCCTGGCACAAAGTGGATGTTCAACAAAAATTAGTCAAATGGAGTTGGACCACAATACACAGGGGAAGTCCTACCCTGGGGAGGACCCATTTTAAGCTGAATTATAAGCATCTAAAACCATCTTCCTTAATTTTTGTTGTGGCAAATGACCTGCTCTTCTGTGACCTTCCACTTGCACACTCTGAAAGACGCGGAGCCTCTATAGTTTACAAATGTTCAAGAAGGGTACCCTTGGTCCCTTCTCCCATGATGAATATAGTGGGGTGGTCATTAAAGGTATTGAGAGCAGTGGGTGGCTGCTGGTGGCAAAAAGAAGATGTTAAAAGCTGGTATAGACATGATCACCATATCAAAGTCAAGAAAGACATGAGAGATTTTGAAAAGACAAATTCATGTCTATCAGGTATTTCCAATGAGATGGTAATCTCCTTGAGATCAAGAGTCTCTTCTGATGTTTCTTTTGACTCGTTGCAATGTTAGGCATCTAAAAGTTATTAGCTTGTTTTTCAAAGACAGTCCTCTGTGTGAGGTTATATACATATAAAACAGGAGTCAGCCTGCAGACTGGGTCAGCTGTCACTGTTGTTCCTAGTGGCACCCTACACTTCCCCATTGGACATCCCCACCTTGTATTCTGTACTTATGTCTGCCTTCCCCACTACTGTGAGTACATAGCTATGTCTGTCTGACCCATTGCTGTGCCCCAGCAGGTAACAAAGCCCAGCACAGAGCAAGTGCTAAATAAATATTTATTGATGAAATGACACCATGTGTGATATACGACATGTGTGCAAATAGATGCACTCTCACATTTGTATTCTATGTGCATATGAGGTTGGCTTGTTGGTTGACAGGAGATATGAATGAGATCTTGGATGACTGGGAGAGCTGATGACTTAGCTTAGGAAAACAGATAGAAATCTCTCTAACTTGGGCTTTTTTTCCTAGTTATCTTGACCAGTTTATGGGTATCTCAAAACTATTATAGAATATGTAGAAACAGCCAACTCAGAAAGAATATAAAGATTTGTGGATGGGCATTGGATGTAGATGTATCAAATATTGCTTCAAATCAGCCCCTGGCTGAAGGAGACTGTGCAGGAGACTCTTGTAATGGCACCAACCCACAGGTGCCTCCTGAGCAAGGTGACAAAGAGCCACCTCCATTTCGGGAAGAAACTTTTGCCATTTCTCCTTTCATTTGGGTTTTTCTGTCTCTCCTGGAGTTTACTAAAGTTCCTTTGTGTTTCCCACAAACATCTGTTTCCTTAAACTTTAAGTATCTTATTGGTGCTCAGTTTTCTATGGGAACTTTCCATTTCTCAGTGACTTGCTGCGCAGTGGCAGCAGGACCATAAATGCGTACCTTTTCTTACGGGTCTAGTGGCAAAAGGAGGGTTGACCGCAGAGGCAAAGGGAGCCACCGCTTAGTGGCACGTCAGTGGGAAGCAACCTGCTGGGTGTTGAGACACATTAACCTGTTTAACAGCCACCAACCCGGGCAGCAGGCATTGTTATGCCACGATACAGTCTCACCAAGGCTCACAAACCCTCCGTGACGATCCCGCCTCTGCTTCCCTTTCCAAACCCGTCTCCCATCTCTTTGCTTTTCCCTTCCCAGGCTCCAGCCACAGTGGCCTCCTCATTGCCAAGCACACTCCTGCTTTAAGGGCCTTGGAATCCGTCACCTTTTTAGGGAAGCCCCTTTAGTCTCTAGACCCTTATCCCATTTTATTTTTCTTCACTGGACTTATCACACTTGATGTTACATTACACACACACACACACACGCACACACACGTATCCTGTATTTTTTACTAAATGGCAAGTATCTATATTGTGTGCTGTTGTTTTAATCACTGTTGTGTCCTCAGCACCTGGACTGGCACCTGCCACATAGTAGGTAGTAAATAAACACTGAACAAATACATCTACTTCAGTAGAGAACATTGAGACATCGGCAAGCGTCATCTCAGTCAAAGTCAGACCTAAGTCCATCTCCTCTGGAGTGTGGGGAAGGCAGGATTTTTGAGCTGAACTCCTCCAGTCACGGTCACCCCCAGCTGGGCTTTTGTCTGGTCACTTCCTCATGCCAGCCTCGGGGGCCACGCAGGAAATAACCACCTTTGCTGATCGTTTCACACCCAGGTGGACTTGAGGCGCCAGCGGATCTCCCAGACTGTGGAGGAGGTGCAGAAAGTCATTCACCAGTTGACCACCGAAATCAGCCACCAAGACATTAGATTTCAAGCCGTGCCATACTCTGACACGTACAACGGGAACGTTAAGGTAAGCAGGTCTCACCTGTCCCTAGGTGCCCAGCAACACGCCCAGGACACTTGGAGGGCGGAACTCAGGCTGTGACGGTGCTCACTCCGCCAAGAATAGTCACGACATTTCGTGTTTCTGCAGGTACTCTTAGCACTTGCCATTTCCAATCTCTTGTCAGACATGTTATCTCATTTGAGCCCCCACATTCCTCGATGATGAAAACTGGGCTTTGGGAAGTCAAATGACTTGATCAGAACTTGCCAGAACTGACCCCGAGGCTTCCGATTCCGAAGCACATTCCACTGTGATGACTGAAGCTCAGTCACGCGCACATTCATTTGTCAAGCACCTACTTCACAGACCGGGGACGGGGTAAGGGAACAGAGGGCTTTGACAAGAAAATAGTCGAAAGTGATGGTGGGTGGCAGGTGGTGGAAGGAGGAAAGTGGCAAGTGGCCCTTAGAAACTACAGGGGCAGCCTCTCGCTCCCCCTACCGAGGAATCCCACAGAGCATAAGCCACACAGCCAGGGCGTGACAGCCAGCGTGACGTTACAGTGTGGACAGAGCTGTTCTCACAGAAGTTACCTTACTCGAACCTGTAAATAACCTTGTGGAAAAGACAGTACAGTCATCTCGATTTTAGAGATGAGAGAAGTGAGGCTCTGATCACTCTGAATCTCAACATTCTTTTTTTTCTTTTTTGAGACAGTGTCACTCTGTCACCCAGCCAGAGTGCACTGGTGTCATCATAGCTCAGTGCAACCTCAAACCCAGGGGCTCAAGTGACCCTCCTGCCTTAGCCTCCTGCATGGACTACAGGCCCGTACCATGCCTGGCTAATTTTTCTATTTTTAGTAGAGATGGGGTCTCGCTCTTGCTCAGGTTGGTCTCGAACTCCTGAGCTCACATGATCCTCCCGCCTCAGCCCCCCAGAACACTAGGATTACAGCGTGAGCCACCACACCTGGCCACCCCATCATTCTTTATCTCAATTTTTCTTATGACACCTAAGAATCTGTTTCACCTTGTGTTAAATTTATATGTATTCTTGGCCTAGCTCTCACAGCAGACTGTAAGTTTCTTGACTATAAGGATCATGTTTACTAATTGTTTCATTCCTAGCACCCAACACGGTGTGTGGCATATGGTAGACACTCAACTTATGTTGAATGAATGAATAAATGAATAAGCAAAACAATTAGTACCTGAGCAAAAGACCATTGCTGACCTAGTACATCTCAAGGTTGATAGACATAAGAACCACCCATGAGACTGTAGGATTTGTGGATTTTGACACAGAATCATACTATGAAAAATTCATTCCAGGATGAAATTTGTAAAACTAGACTGAATCCTGGAATGTAATGTGAGAATATCACCTGCCCACCTCTACCACCCCAGGCCAAACTGAATTGGGCAAATATAGAGCAGCGATTAGGAATGGAGACATTACATCACTTTCCTTAGCACTATACTTGAGGAAACTTCCTTCTGTGGTCCCACTTAGAATTCACAGCTTAACATATGTCTTGCATTTATATATGTCATGTTCTACATATTAAGTTTTGAAAATACTTACAGTGTAGTGTCTAAAAATTGCTTTTATCTTGAATCAAATTCAACAAGTACTTAGTAAGCACCATTTATATGCCTAGCAACACGATAGTAGTGCTTTTGAATTCACATGCAGGTAGAGTATAGATGCATAGATGTATATAGAGTACAGACGTATAGCATAACGTATAGATTTTGAATTCTATAGTTTAGATGTCTTTCCCTCTTTCTACATCCAGTCACCGTTCTATGAACACCAAAAGTCGTATGGACCCGTGGTCTAAAACATCAAACTGTTTGAGTCTGAGAATGAGAGTCAGTTGAAGCTGATTTTAGTGTTCACCCCTGAATGAGCCGATGACGAGGCCATGGGTGAGGGTCGACCAAGTTAGCATGGTCAGGATTTCCATGAAGAGGAGGTAGCTGACTCACCAGGCCGTGCGTGTGCAGTGGATGGCCGCGGACACAGCCAAGGACTCCCTCCGGCAGTGCTGCACTCTGAGCCACCCGTTCTGGCCCTCGGATCACTGGCCCCATCGATTTCCCCGAGTGCTGCTTAACCGGTTCCTAGAGAAAGGGCATAGGTAGATTCTGATTGTTTGCTTTTCTCTGTTAAACGTAGAATCATTTCAATGGCTCACATTATCTAAACAAACAGGTTTCTATCTCACCTTTGACTTTGTAAGGATAGCGACCCTGAGTCATCAGGCAAAAAGAAAGGGAGCCAATTCGTTAAATTCTTTCGTCTCCTCTCCCATGCCTTCCCACCCTTTATTCATATCAGAACTTTCACCATTCCACGTCATTCTTGACTGAGAGCCAGCCCAGGGTGGAAAAATAATCACTGAAGGAGCTAGCAAAAGACTTAAATTCGGGCTCTTCTATTTACAGGCTGGGTATCTCTGGGGGGTGGTCTCTGAGCCCCTCTGAGCCTCGGGCTCCTTATCTGGGAAGTGGCAACAAAGCGCACCCCACTGTGCGATTGTGAAGATGAAATGGGCAAGTGCATGAGAACTGCAGTGCTTCCTGTGCCTGGAACTTAAGGATACTAGTTCTTTCCCCTCCCTTCACTTTGCTGCCCAAACTTTGGGTCTTCTCTAGAGCTCCAGGTCTAGTTCATTCTTTTTCCTTGTGGATTCATGAAACCAAAAACTTGGAAAGTTAATTCACCTATCTGAAGCAATACAATGGTCAGTGGCAGAACAAAGATGTAACCTGCAACACCCAGGTGTAGGTCTCTGTCTGCCTCGTCGCATCTCGGAGGGTGGAGTGGCTAAGTGAGCTCAACGTGTCGGCTCTCCAGGACTTCTGCTACCTCCCACGGCTATGAAATCACACTTACTTTCTCTCCTTTCCTGACTCCAGGTTTTGGCCCCCACTCAGTTCCTAGTCACAGTCCCAATAAAAGGCCTGGCCGGGTACAGGGAGGCCAGGGAGCGGCGCTGGAGGTACTACACCCTGCAGGGGGCCAGGCTGCCCTGCCCCTTGCGGGCCCCCGAGGGTCTGCAGCAGTGGCTGGAAGTGGAGCAGTTTGTGAGGAGCCTGTGGCAGTGGCATGAGGCAGACGTGAACATCGAGGGGGACATCGTGCCTGCCAAGGTCCTCCAGGTGTTCCGGAAGCTGGTGGAAAATGCAATTAGAACCTGCCACCTCTCAGGTGAGCTAATCAGGCAAAAGCGCAAGGGAAACTGGTGGCATTTCCCATTTGCTCTATAAAACCTCCGCTTAGGTGTCACTTGAACCCCACACCCCTGATTTGACACAATAATCGTGCACTCTTTGCATCTGTTCCATCTTCATGATATGAATTAGCTTTTTTTCTGCTGTGACACACGGAAGATTGGAATTCATTCTCATAAAACACTCTCACGGATTTGAGATTTAACACTCTTAAGATTTAAGGATGTTAGCTTAAAAACTTTAGTGTACTTTTTTAACAACAAATTATTCACAAACCCCAGATCTGCATTATTAGCAACACCCTCCATCTGACTGCAGTACCACAGTATGCTGAGAGACCACTTTTGGAAACTACCAACTTGTACCAAAATACAAAATCCAGAAGCCATAAAGAACTGATTAAGTTTGATGACCCCAAAATCTTAAGCTACTGTGCTATGCAGCACATGTGTGCTGTGTGTGCGTGTGTGCATGTATACACACACACACACATCTTTCTTGTTCACACAAAAGGAGAAGGTGAATTTCAAACTGGGAAAAAAATGGCTAATTTTCTTGATGATAAAAGACTACTTGTAAACCAATAAGAAAAAAGATGAGCTGACAAATACAAATAATGACCAAAAACAGAAAATAATGAATCACAGAAGAATAACATAAATGGCTAGTAAAAAGTAAGAAAAGGCATTCCCTCTAATGTATATTTCAAGATACATTAGAATGTGCTGAATGTTAGGTACGTTAAAATACCCAATAGGTTAAAGGAGATGAAAAGTGTGATTGTGCTTAGTGGAGGGCTGGGCAGGGTGAGATGGGTATTTATATATATTGGGGTTTTTTTTGAGACAGAGTCTCACTCTCTTGCCTGGGCTAGAGTGCCGTGGCGTCATCCTAGCTCACAGCAACCTCAAACTCCTGATCTCAGGCGATCCTCCTGCCTCAGCCTCCCAGGTAGCTGGGACTACACACACGCGCCACCATGCCCAGCTAATTTTTTCTATTTTTAGTTGTTTGGCCAATTTCTTTCTATTTTTAGTAGAGATGGGGTCTCGCTCTTGCTCAGGCTGGTCTCGAACTCCTGAGCTCAAACAATCCTCCCCACCTCGGCCTCCCAGAATGCTAGGATTACAGGTGTGAGCCACCATACCCGGCCCCGTATATTGTTCTTGAAAGTGTAAATCGGTGCCTCCTTTTTAAAGGACAATTTGTCCATTTTTAATTTTTATAATGTGCTTACTTGAGAATTCAACGATTCCAGTTCTAGAAATATAGTTTTACAAGCACACAAAGAAACATGCACCAGGATAGCCTCTGCCATAGGTTTTATGATAGTAAATAACTAGAAATAATCCTAATGACTAACAAAGCAAAATTGGCTAAATTAAATTACGTTACCTCTGCCTAGTCGACTGCTATGCAGCCTTTAAAAAGAATGAGGCAACAGGCGTCAGCACTCGTGTACACACAGTTATGACAAAATGCACGTGCCAGATAATTAAATGAAAAACTGCCAAAAAATATGAAATTCCATTTGGGTAGAAATAAAAGGATGCATTTGTGTATATGCTTGCTTGTCTAGACAGAATAGTTCTGGAAGGTTCCATGATGGCAATAGTTCACGTTTAATGGAGTTTTAATAAATCGAGGATGCTTTCCTGATTTATTTAATTTAATCTTCATAACAACCCTACAGAGTAAGAATTCTCTTTCTCCCTGTTTCACAGATGAGGAAACTGGGACTCAGATTAAGTAACTTGCCAGAGGTCACTACCCAGTGAGCACAGCGAGCTGCAGAAGCAGGACGTGGGCTGGCCCAGCACCAGCTCACCTCTTACACTGGGCGACATTATTAACAGGGAAAGTGCAAAGCAGAGTTTCAGACCTGGCCAGGTTGACGAGGTGCTTTCAGTAGATAATGCCAAAGTACCAGACATCATCGTGTTCCTGTCTGGGCAGCTCTGATGAGATGCAGACAATAAGCCCTTTATCGTACCCCGGCCAAGGAGAGGAATGTTGCCCTTTGAACAGCTTCACACAGTTAATGAGCTTCCATTTTCTCCGCTGAGCAAGAAAAAGCAAAATAACAGGTCCCGATTCAAGACAGCTCATCCTTATCTGTAATGAAGGCAAACAAACAAACAAAAAAACTACTGTATCTTTTGAAAGAAGTGAGAGCAAATTAGAAATGAGGGAATTCTAGTGTGTAACCTGGGAAGCTTTACCAGATACATTAGTTTTTTTCCCTGTCTTTGCCTGGTTGGAAAATGAGGCAGTGGGGGCTTCTTCCCACTCACTTGACCCTTTAAAAAAGATGCCATGCTTTGAAGTATTTAACAGTTAGAAGGGCTTCTGATGATAGCTACACCTGAGGCTGGGCTGGCTCGGTGGATGGGTAGAAACAAATATTATCTAAGAGACCATGCCTCAGATAAAAGGCAGGTGAAGCCGAACTCCACCAAAGGCATACAAACAATAAGAGGCTGACACTGTCCCTAACCAGTGTTAGAACATCTGGGCAAAGAGCACACGAAATGGCATTGGCCTTCCTATTTTCGCATTACTCCAAAACCAACATTTAGGTGTTTGGGTGGAATGGAGAAGAATATAGAAGAATGGTTAGATTTCATTTTACAGTAGCAAATATAGATGATCCCTTAATTACAATAGTTCCACTAAGAGTTTTTGACTTTATGATGGTACGTATTCAGTAGAAACTGTACTTCGACTACTCATACAACCATTCAATAAATTACATGAGACACTCAACACTTTATTATAAAATAAGCTCTGTGTTAGACGATTTTGCCCAACTGCAGGCTGATGTGAGTGTTCTGAGCACATTTAAGACAGGCTAGGCTAAGCTGTGATGTTCAGTAGGTCAGGTGCATGAAATGCATTTTCAACTTGTGATATCTTTGACTTACAGTGGGTGCATCAGGACGTAGCCCCATTGTAAGCTGGGCAGCATCTGTACTGTACTTTTTATTCTATGGCTCTTTCTTCTAGTTGAGGCTTCTGAAAAGAATCTATCAATTTAAAGAAAAGGGAGGATGGGAGGGGGGCAAGGGATAAAAACTCACCTATCCGGTACAATGTACTCTACTCTGGTGATGGGCACACTAAAAGCCCCGACTTCAGCACTATACAATTCATCCATGTAACAAAAACACTTGTACCTCTTTAATATTTTTAAATAAATCAGAAAAATAAAGGAAAAGGTGCCATAAGAACTGGGATTGGGGGAGAAGGAAAAAAGAACAACTCACCAACAATAAGACTGTTCAGTCTAACCCTGGTTAGCTGACTAATGGTCTGCTTTTGATGTAAGTGCCCCACCTTCTATGTGCTACCGACATTGTGAAAGTTACCCCACCGGTTGCAGAGAGCTGGTCAGAGCAACTACTCACAGATTCCTTCTTTGAACACTTGTGTTGAGCAAGCCTTTCTCTTCTCATTGTCCATTTGGCCTTTTCCCGTCAGGTAAGGTCAGCATGCTAGCAAACCGCTCTGCGGTTTGGGTTGCCGTGGAAACATCCGTATGTCAGATGGAGCTAGAGCTGGCCCCCGCAGTGGAGATCCCCACCACATGGTCGGAGAAAGCCCAGTGGCCTCGATGTCTGAAGCGCTGGCCTTCCCCAGAGAGAGTGGAGTGCATCAAGGTATCGGTGGGCGGGACCCCAGCTCCCCGGGCAGTGTTACCGGCAGCTTACCCGGTCCCGGTGTTACTGGCTGCCCACCAGCTTCCCAAGGACAGTGGAGGTGTCACCAAATCAGCGGTTCTCAAAGTGGGGCCCCGGACCAGCAGCAGCGTCACCTAAGAACTTGTTAGAAATGCAGATTCCCAGGCCCCGCTCTGGACCTGCTGAATGAGAGCCTGTGGGCAGGGCCCAGCAATCCGTGTTAATGAGCCTCCAGGTGAGGTGGCTCCGAGGCTGGCTCACCCTTCCGCGAACTGCCCAGGTCCAAGGTGGCTTGCGTTGTCCCCATGCCCCCTTTGGTCCCATGTAGGATGTGCTGCCCGCCCAATGACAGGTTCCCCAGACTAGTGGACTACCTCGGAAGTGGCTTTCCATTTCAGCAAGCATGGCTCGTCTCCTTTCCCAATATTCTTCTCTTTTTCCAGTCATTTGGGTTTAACTTGCTGGCCCGTTCAAATTATCACTGGGAGCTGAGCTTCCTCCAGGCCGAGCAGGTGCTGCTGGAGCAGCTGGATGAGGACGGGGGCTGCCGCAGGAAGTGTTTCCAGGTCATGAGGCAGCTGAAGGAAGACGTCTGGTGCCCAGGGAAGAGGCCCATCCTCACGTCCCAGCACCTGCAGGTGGGTGTGGGGCCTGGCCAGAGCCATGCAGATGGGGGAGGTGTGTGAATTCACGATGAGGCTCTAATGTCTATATTTGCCACCCCACAATTATTACTCGTTATGGAAATAGATGAACTCGGGCTGTGTGTGTCCACAACACCCCTGCCCAGGGTAGAATCTCCTCTGCCTTCCTCCCTTCCCTTTTCCGGTTTCCTCTCCTTCCTCCCCTACCCCCCCACCCCCAGTTTTATTATTTCACTCAACAAAGCAATGTGTGCCCATTGTGGGCCAGAAACCCTGCCGGGGTTCAGAAATGAATTACAGAATGTGGTTTCTGCCTCACACCTTTGATGAAGTCATGTTTTCCCTGATGTTATGACCCACTGGATTCCCGTCCTAGCCCACATGCAACCGCTCACACACACACAGGCGCGCCCCACGCAGGGAGGCGGGGAAACCAGGAAACGGTGAGGTTATCACATAAACATTGCCACAAACCCGTTTCCAGGCTTTGGACTTCCGGGTTCCAAATCATCAGGCAGGGATTTTCCCTTGCTCTGCCGCTCCTGCCTCCCCTTGCCCCAAACCCAACATCATACATTCACCAGGCACTCATTCATTCAGCAAATGTTCCATGGGATTCCTCTGGGCTGGAGGCGCCTGGGCCAGCACCTGCTGTGTGCTCCACACCTGGAGGTACAAGGTGAACACACACAGATGTGGCTCCTGCTCTCAGGGAGCTTCTGGTCTAGCAGCGGGGAGAGACGTTGGTCCACAAGCCCTTAGGTGCGTGGACATACCGAGGGGAGCGCTGGAGTCACGTCGCTCTGTGAGGGCTCAGAGCAGCAGAACCTGACCTGGCCTGGGGCACTGGGGGGCTTCCTGGAGGGGTGGACTTTGGTCACCCGACTCCCTCTTTCTCAAACTGTGGACCACACAGCGCGAAGCGGACTCTCCCGTAACAGCTGTGTGCAGCACGCTGGGGTTGGGAGGGATCCGACTCTCGCAGGACATCACAGCCCAGCCTGGCGGGGTCTGCCCCGGAGCCTCAGCCCCTCTCCCTGCCCCACTGCCTTTCTACACAGGTAAGCAAAGGTCCCTGGGGCGGCCGCCTGTCTGTGTGGTGCCTTCCTCACATGCTACCTGTTCCTCCCCTCATTCAATGGACAAAACCATCTTCTGGCCCTGTGTTACTCTTTCTGCTCTAAAGTAACCTATTTAGGAGCAAGAGCAGGTCGGTCTTGTTCACCTAGTGCGGTGACCTTTCCCGACGGTCTTGTTCACTGGGACAAGGATGAGAGTTGCCCCCAGTACCTCTCCCGCAGCTTTGTGCACAGCGGCTCAGGAAACATTTGTTGAGCGAATGAAAGAGTGGCTTCACATCTTGTTTAATGTTTCTTTTCTGCACAAAACGGCAAGTGTTTGTTTTGTGCTCTTATCTTTCCTGATAACCTGTCGTTCTTGACCTGCCCAAGAATCGCTTAACATCTCCTCTGTCTGCGCACACTGGGGCCTTTCTCTGCGGTTTCAACATCCTCAGCATGTCCCCAGGCACACTCCCCTAAAACACACAAGCTGTTCTCCTGGGTCGAGGGCATGTGCTTTCAGAAGATACTCGGATGCGTTTGGTGGGTTTAGCTGGCCCTTCTACAGGCCACACTCAGAAGAGGCGGAGCTGAGAAGCATGAACTAAAGTCTGTCTCATGTCAAAACCTCATAATTTTAATGATTAACTTCTTTGTCCCTCAATTAAGATGGACAGAAACACTGTTAAGTGTCATGAAAATTTCAGGAAAAATGGACTAGAGCCACTACAGGCCTCCCAGCCCATGACAGCTCTCGAAACTGCATTTCCCACCCAGGGATGTGCTTCTATTCCGACAGCTCCTACCTCACCTAGAAGATTTTAAGGCAACTCATTAAAGGTTCTCTGTTTCAGTCCTCCCTGACCCACCTACACGGCATAATAGAATTGTGCATTCTCAAGGATGGGTATTTTTAAAGGGGAGATTATTTGTGGATAAAAGTAGGATAAATAGAACAGTGCCAACTGCCTTTTCCTCTGTCTTCCATCCTTGGTCCATGGGCAGAGTTGTCTCATATTTAGGTGCTCACTGCTGGGAATGGATGTGTCTGGTGACAGTGTGGTTAGACACCATCCGGACGATGGCTGAGTGTGCTGGATCCTTGCCACGTCCTCAGCCGGGGGAAAGTGGAAGAGGTTGGATTGAAAAACAGCATTAGGAAGGATGTGACAATCATAGTTATCTCACCTTAGGTCTGACACTGTCTTGTAAGGTCCTACTCCCCAAAGAGGCTGTTCCCCAAGACGGTTTCATGTGAAACAGAGCTTATCTTTCATTGGCTTATGTATTCCTAAAACCCACCCAAAGGTACACGGCTTGATTATAATTGGCTTAACTGTTTCCATTTGCTTAGAGAAATAAAAGCTTAACTAACAAGAAGAATAGCATAAAGTTATCTCTGACTCACTAATTCAAAATAATATAATCTAAATCAAAACACACTCAATATCTTACTGTAAACCAATAACTGCTTTAAAAGATAAAGACTATATAAAAATACTCAATATGTATACCATAATGTTAATTGATTAATTAATTCACTCATTTGATAAACATTTATTGACTGACTCTCATGGGTACTAGTGGCATAATAGTAAATAAAAATAGGTGTAGTCCACTGCTCTCATTAAGTTTATAATCTAGTAGGGGAGATGAGAAAATCAAATAATCGCATAAATGTAAAAACTACTGTCATCATTGCTTCTTACAAGAAGTCCGTGGCTAAAAGAATATGTAATGGATGTACTAGGAAAATTTGATCTGATGGATGAGTTTTCTGGACAAAGAAGAAAGGAAGTTTGTTCTAAGCAGAAGAAGAAGGATGTGCAAATGCCCTGAGGTAGAAGAGAGCATGAAATGAGGCCAGTGTGGTCAGAGGGAGAGAACAAGGGAGAACATGGGGCATGGAAAGGAAGGCAAGGGCCAAACCTTACAAACAAAACAACGTTAAGGATTATGTTTTTAGTTAACAAACCAGGGGCAAGATTTGTATTATAGACAAGAAGGAATGTAGATTTACATTTTAAAAAGATCGTGTTGGCTGCAGTGTGGATGGTGACAAGAATAGCTGCAGGCTGGTGAGACAGCTATTGCAGAGGTCCAGTGAGATGGGGAGGGGTGTGGACGAGGGTGGCAAGACTGGAGATGAAGATAAGTGGGTAGATCTGAGAAATACTTAGGCCGGAGGATTGCAGGACTTGGATGGGGTGGTTCGGGAAAAGGGTGCCTGCTGGGATTGTGTCTTGCGGAACCGGCTGGGCAAGCAGCTCTGGTGGTGGATCGGGTTTGTGAGAGAAGCCATGAGTTCAGTTTGGACGTGCTGAGACTGAGGCACCTCAGATATTCAGGAGATACGGACATCAGAGGAGAAGCCTGGGCTTGGAGAAAAAAATTGCAAGTCACCTATGTTTCCTGAGCATGAAAGCCACTGTAGTGGAGGAAACAGAGAGCTGAGGAACTCATTAGAGGAGAAGAGGGCCTAGAACCGCGCCTGCGGGAACTCCGCCGTGCAGAGGCAGGCACGGAGCGGGAGCGGGCCCGGGAGCAGCCGTAGTGCGGGGAGAAGGGCCCGAGGGTACGCTGGCTTGGAAGCCAAGTGAAGGAGGGTTCGAGAGAGACTCAGAGCTGCTGAAAGACTGGGTGAGGTGCAGGCTGCTGAAGGCCTGTCGGGTTTAGAAACGTGGAGGTCCTGGGGTCTTAACGAGAGCAGCCTCCGAAGATGAATGGCAGCAGCATCCATGGGGGGTGGGTACTGGAGGCAGACAACGGGGGAAGAGGACATGGCGACAAGTCACAGAGCTGACTGTGTGGCGCCGCCTGGGTGTGCAGAGCGGCAGGAGTCAGGGCAGGAGGGGGCTGTGGGATGGAGGGAGCAGGAGAGCTCGGAACAGGCTGCAAAGCTGCGAGGCGGAGGGTCATCAGCATACGCAGTTCCTGGAAGGCGGATCCCGGGCCCTGCGGAGGGACCTCCCCGCCAGGAGGGGGGGCGGGTGCGCAGAGGAACAGAGGAGGACGCCACAGCAGGCAAGAACTGTCTGGTTTGGAGGGTGAGGGCTTCCCTTTTCCCTGTCAGGGAGGAGGCAAAGGCATCTGCCTGGAGTTGGGCTATTGCAGGTTCGAGGGGAGCGGGGTCATTGGAGTGTCGGAGGAGAGTGAGGAAGCGAGTTAATGAGGAGGCGCGGGAGGCCAGCTGGTGAGACGGAGGCCCCACCTGAGGCTGGCTCAGGTGTTCGTGGCAGACCCAGGCCACCCTGGGCGGCTCCTTGCTCCCTCCGTCCAAGGCCATATCGTCTCAATAATTGTTTCTGAAGATACCCTCCTCAATTGCCCAGAACCATGGCTGACACCACCTCTTCCTCCCACAGACGGTGCTCTTTTGGACCTGCGAGAAATATCCCCACTTTAAAGACTGGCAGGTCTTCAGCAAAGCGTTCCTGCGCCTGGTGAGGAAGCTGCACAAGTGCGTGAGCCAGCACTTTCTGAAACACTATTTCGTCCGAAGCAGTAACCTCCTTCGGTGCGCGAACTCGGGCGAGCTGGATGCGGTGGCCCAAAAGCTGGCCTTCTTCCTGAAGAACCCCCAGATCAGCCTGCCCTGAGGGCTGCCCCGGCCTGGGTGGCTCTTGCACATTTCATTCAGGCTTGACCTCATTTTCCAGATGGTTCCTAAGTCAGGTGCCAGAATCCTGCCCAGGAGAGAGGAAACACATGGCAGAGGAAATCATGTCCGACCAGCAGCACCTGATGGGGTAAAGCTGTGCCCACGACGTCTGACCCAGGCCTCCCTGGAGCCAAGCAAGCATTTCAGCCCTAGCTACCTCTCTTGGGGACGCCTCTCATCAGGTTTCCCCAAGCCACAGATTCCAAACTGATGACAGTTCTGAATTTATTTTCCCTTGCTCAGGCTCAAGTGTCTGACAGGAAGGGTGGAGACAGAACCCCTGGAAGGCTAGACATTAGCCTGCTGCCCAGGAGTGCTCTCCAGCCCGCTGGACATGGGCTCACTGTGCCTCCCACAGAGCAGGGCTGTGAGCCTATGGCACGGTGCTGGTGCCTTTCCAAGGGGAAGGCCTTGGATCAGCACAAAGTGTCACTGGCTGGCTGGGTGGCTGCTGTTTGCATCCCGGGTCAGCGCCCGCAGCACTGATGGAGCGATTGCCCCTCATGCGTAAGCATGCCTGTGCTTCCTGCAGCCCTGAGGCTTTCCTGGGCAGCGGTTCCGTCTGCTTGCCTGGTGTTCTCTGAGCAGGGAGGGAACGGTTTGGATGGTAAGAGTAAGTCAAAGATGACAGTGCAGCTCTGTCTGCCGCCTGAGCCCAGCCACGGCCCTCTCTTTGCTTCTCATGCCATGACGAGACTTCCTGATATTTATGTAATGAACTCAGTACTACGGTCTGCATGGAATGACCTTGGCGTGGCTCACCTCTCAATACATTCCTTTACCCGCTTCATTCACTCACTCATTCATTGGTAAATAAATGTTCATTTGGCACTTGGAATACAGCAAAGATGGACAAAGACTTCCCTGGTGGGGATAACACCTAAGGGTGGAGACAAGGAACGAACAGCAGATTTGTAAACACAAGATTACAGATGGGAGAGAATACTCTGAAAGAAACAAACAATGTTCAAATAGAATCACAGAAAGATCCAAGCAGGATGAAAATGCAAACAGCTGAAGGGGAAGGAAAGGTGACCGAGGCCAGGCCTGGAGGGATTGGCCGGGCTCAGATCTCTCGGCCTTGTAAAGCCCGTGAGGAATCAGTATTTTATTCTGAGATCAAAGTTGTGACATTTGGCCTCTTCTGAAGCAGAGGGGTATGATGATCTGACTTGCATTTTAAATGAATATTCTGGTAACTGCATGAAGAGCGTCTGGGGGCCCACAGGCGAGTCAGGGGCACCGCAGTCCTTCGAGCCACCCATCTGAATCTCGCTGGACCCACAAAGCAACACATCCTGTGCAGCACAACTGACCGGGAACTTCAGTTCCTGGGGACACCAGTGGTTTCTTCTGGCGTTTACTTACTGCTTCTCCTCAAGGGGCTCCTCTATTACTTTTGAATATTTGAGTATTTGCCCCCCAAATATATGTAACAAAGTGAAATTTCTAAAGCATGAACTACTGATTTTGTTTTGATGAAAATCCACATTTGGAAATGAAAATAATTATTTTTCAAAGCTACTGTAACCAAATGGTGGGGGCCCTAGTTATCACATAGGAAATCATGGTGTTAAAATGTTAGGGGGGAAAAAAGTCTTTCCAAACATACAATAGTGAACAAACTAGTGTTTTGTTAAATCATCAAAAAACTAGCATTCTAATTCTTATATTCTTGTATCTTGGGAAACATCATTTTTGAGAGGGAGGCAAATGTAACAGGTCTTTTTCTTTTTTATGATGAAAACATCTTAAGCAAGTTTTGAAACAGCTATGCGGTCACAGAATGCCAAAAAGTGAAAGTGATTGTGCCATTGATTCAGCGTGTGCGTGTGTGTGTGTGTGTGTGTGTGTGTGTGTGTGTGTGTGTGTGTGTGTGTGTGTGTGTGTGGAGAGAGGGACTGATATGCGCTCCGCTCAGATTCCAGGAGACTCTCAACCTTTTCCCCAGGAGATCTGCGGGTCTTTGAGGAGGTAGGGCTGTCT